TATTTCAAGAAATACTCTCTAACAAAGTAAGAAGGCAGGTTTTCATGTGAGATTATATCCCTTGCAAAATATTCCCTCAGCAGCAAGGAGGAGATAGTGATGTAAGAAGAGAGCATTCCCTTCCTTGCTTTTTACCAGGTACTAAGAGGGTGACCCCTGTGACTCTCCCTATAGAACAGAGGGAAGAAAAACCCTTTGTCACAATGAAATCCAAACCCCCAACGTGATGGGGCACAGCATGAGCAGTTAGACCTTCATTTTGCTTTCCTTTCCTTTCAGATAGCCCAAGTACATATCTCCAAGGATGTAAAAGGTGACCTGCAAATGGAGGTTATCAATGAAATGCAGTAAACCTGAAATGTAATTATTTTTTTCCTGATTGTTTTTTTGAAGCATCAGGTATTTATGCCAGTCTACTCTGTAAGATTTCCACAGTTGAGGAATTGCTAAAACAAGGATTTAAAAATAAATAAGTAAAAGGGAACTGCAGAAAGCAAAAAGTGTTTAGTTAGGGCTTTTGAAATCTTCAGATACCTATGACTAAAGAAGTCTTTACTAAGTATTCCAAATCCTGTGGTTCAGTTTTAAATAAACCCAGAAGCTCTTAAAAATTCTACAGCAAAGCCAGAAAATACTTTCAGTTTTTGTGCTTGGAAGATAAATAAAGCAGAGATAGAAAAACAAACATGCTTTTGGCTTTACTTGTCATGGAGAAAATAACAACTTGTTAATTGAATATCAGTCACAAGTTACCTGCTTTATTTGGGCGAGGCTACTTTGTGCTCTTAATGCTCAAAATGGATCACAGTTGTTAACTGGTGAGTCATTTTAAAAGATAAACTGGTAGAGCTGCAAACCAGCATATGAAGTGAAACATGTTCACAACCGCCTGTGTGTAATCTCTAATTTCTCTGCAGGGGAAGGAAGATGAGACTTTGCTTCCTTAAAATAAAGCAGACATTTTAAGGGGCACATTGCTCATGACATTTTTGAGGAGTGTTTTCACACTGCCCCACCAGTTTCACTCCTTTGTGGAACCTGGTGCTTCTCTCTTCCTTCGTGCAATTGCTTCCTGCAGCAGCAGCCTCTGTTTTTAGCTAGACTCACATCCATAAGGCACTTTCCAGTGGGACCCAGCAGAGCTGAACTACCAGCAAAACCAGTTTTTGAGCTCTGAGATCAGTTCCTTCCCAGGATGTTATGTCAGCTTCCCTGCCTTCTGCCTGCCATTAATTGCACTGTATCCCCAGGTCAAACAACTGGCCAAAAATCTGGAAAACAGCTGACGGTCAGAGCAGCTCCTACTCAGCATGTCCTCTCAGAGGGCACGCTCCTGGCCTGGTCCTTTTGAGTGGCTGGACCTGCTTGACCCAATTTGTGCATTTTTGATCACTCCCCTGGGTCACTGATTTTCCACTTGAGGTTATTGGTTTGACCCCCACACCATGGGTCACTTGGGAGGTGTGATATGGCCCTGTGAACTCTGAACTCATCAGAAGCCAACAAAAACAGTGAGAGAGGAGAAGAATTTCATTAGGACCTCCTCAGAGGTGGCAGTGTCTGTGGAGGGAAAAGGTAGGAGTTGTTTTCCTTCTTGCAGAAACAAGCACAGCATCTTCAAGGGACTGCCAAGTAGAAAGTGTTTGGTTTGGTTTGTTTTGGCAATTCCTTCAAGGATAAGCAGCATATTCTTTTACAGCATGGGCTATCTATCGGGTGTTGGTTCAGAGGAGCCGTCCTCTTCCTGCTGGGAACTGCCCTCAGTGTCCCAGACTTACTGCTAATGGTGACGACATTTCTGCAGCCAGAGCTTGGTATTTGCAGTTGTTTCTTCTACCTTAAAAAGATGAACTTTCTGATGGTTAATTTGTCACACTTGAGTTTTTTTTCAGACTGGTCAGTTAGAGGTTCATGGAGACTGTGTAGGCTGGTTGGTTGCGCTGTGAGCAGCTCCCTGAGAATGAACTTCACCAGACATGGGTGGTAGGTGGGGAAGAATGAATCTTCGGGAAATAATTTGGCTTCAACATGCTTTGCTTATCAATAAAAGGGAAAAGAATTATTGTCATTGTAGCTTGTGTATCTGCAAGTGTAACACCCACTGGGATCACTAGGGGAAGTGAGCTGGAGAGTGCGGAGCAGCCACAAGGATATCTTTTGTGAAATTTCCCTCTGACATGCTGCCCGGAGTCAGCCTTTTGGACAGTTACCAGTGTTTCCCAAGGTTTTACTTAGGCAAAAGTTCTGCTAACCGTTGGCTAGATCACTGCTTGTATTATCCCCAAGGCTGCTAAAATAACTCACATACCTTCTGTCTTCCTGAGGCTTTCCTAAAAGGTTTGTGTGAAGTGGATTCCTGTCAGGTCTCTGTGTACAACCTGTCCTCCCAGCTGCTAAGTCATGACTCTGGGCAAGACACTCAAGAATTACACCACTTATGGGTGTTTCGCCCTCAGAGAAAGGGAACTGGTGCTGACAGTCAACAACTTGGGGTTTTATCTTTTAAAGAAAGATTTTGCTCTTCCCACATGTTCTTCTGCAGCTTGTCTACACAACCACATATGGTGTTAGCTGCAAGTGAAGCGATGGTGGATTTAGTTTGCTAGGAGAGGTAACAGCAGTGGAGATCTGATGGCATTAGCTCAGGAAGCTTGGGGCCATTTCTCAGGTCTGGCACGCTTGGATTGCCCAGGCCATCTTCACTGCACAGTCCTGGGCCAGAGCAGCCTGAGTGCACGGTCATAGCTTCTGTGGCAGCAGTATAACACTGATTCCTAAAACTGGACTGGCTGAGCTTTCCTGGAAACAGCTCTTTTGGCTGGATGGCAAAACACACCCCTCTTTTTTCCTGCACCTTGCAGACCTCTGGTGTCAGTTGAAGAATGAGTTGTGTACTGAAAGCTCAGTATGTCATGCTGATGGCTCAGTCCTATTCTCAGCCATCATTTGGGTGCCATTTCATCTTGAATTTGTTTTTTTTAGAGTAATTCAATTTGCAGTTAGATCTTTGTCCAAAAGCTTCCAGTGAAGCTTTTTGAAGTGGCTTTTCAGTGAATTCTGGATCAGGTTCCAAGCTTAGTCCTTTTTTAATGTGATCCACAAGAATTTCATTGATTATAGCTGCCGACAAGAACACCTTATAAAGCCAATGTACAGGATTTTGAGCATGATCCTTATATTAAAAGGTGATGGGTATAGGTTTGACATTCGTTCCTGTCGGTGTGCTGCTTGACACAAAGCAGTTCCTACCATTGCAGAGCCTTTTATGATTGGAAGTATGTTTTTGTGCAAAGAGGCATTAAAGCTGAGTGTGGTAGGACTGAGTAGTGAACAAGCCTGCATGCAGAAATATGTGGAGCAGCTCTTTGGCCTGCTCGGGAAATGAGGCTTTGTTGCAAGGCGTAGGTGTGTGAGCAGCGACAGTAATTGTCTCAGTACGTACGATTAAGATGGTTTGGTATCTCAGAGGGTGGCTTCAGGCCCTTCAACACTTTGTCTGGACTGTCTCACCAGGAGGTGGGGGGGAAGCTGGGAGTGCCTGTCTTTTATAAAGTTCTGTTTTTAAAGCAGAAAGTCTCTGGGGAGCATAGGGTCCTAAAAGTCCAAGGCCTGGAATGCTTCCTTTTGCTCTTTCCATTTTAAACAGGAAACATTTGCACTAAGTTATTCCAGGAGGAGAATTGTAGGTTCATTTCAAGGCAGATAATGTTTGTTCATTGCCTGTGTCCGTGATTTACCCCATGGGCTTAAACAAGTGCTGCAGAAAACCACATGTTTTGTTTTACTACATGTTAAACAAGTTCCAGCAGAGTCTGGGAGCCCAGGTTAAGAAAGAAGGACCATGCTTGTAAAATCACTGTATGAACTAGAGTCACTGACAAGTTTTGAACACCTGATCTGCTGTACCAGAATGATGACTTTTTTCATAATCTATGCAAAGAATATTTAAACAGTTGATGAGTTCAGTCCCAAAGACACAGAGCAGGTGTAATTGATTTATACTTCAAGCCCCTGTTTTGGGTCAAAACTCTGTCTTTTTACTTAAGCCGTCATTCAGAGAGAAGCTTCCTGTGCAGTCAGTGAGAGGTTTTGTCCAAAGTGCAAAGACATTTGCAGTCAGACTGGCAAAAACTCCTAATGAAATTGAACTTTTGGGGATGCTCTGGTGACATGTCTGTGAGAACAATTATTTTTGCCATTTCAAAAGTATTACAAGTTAAGTTGAACTAAGAAAATATATCAATGCTTCATTAGTGCAAATCACAAAATTAAGATGCAGAAGGCTACAGAGAGGGCTCCATGGCACATCCTTAGGGATGACACATTCATATGTTGCTTTTCATGTGAACTAAGGCTTGTGAGATCCATACTGATGCAGACAAGTTACAGGGCTGTTGTAATATCACAGATTTTAGATCACAGATTTTTTGAAACCTCATTGGCAACTTGCCCATTAAACACAGGTATTGTAGTCTGACATCCCTCGTGTTTCTTCCCCATTTTTTCCAACTATGGTGTTTGGAAAGTTTTACAGGCTGACATATTAGGAGAGAATAGTGGGAAATGGCCTGGAAAGCGTGAATATTTGTGCATGTAAAGCTTTTGGGATTTGCAGACTTGCAGACCCAACTCATCTGTTTATCCTCAGGCTAGATAAGATTCAGTCAAACATGCATTGTTTGACAGAGCTTTGTTTCCATTATGGCAAATGGATCACAGGAGACTGACTTTGGGAGCTGAAGGGCTCCAGTGCTCCCCCATTGTAAAAGGGCTCTGATGTGCGCTGGACCTTTCTTCCAGGGTCCTGGGTGTTACAGACTTTTTTAACATGCAGGTGGGAAGCTTGTTATCCTTCAGAAGTTCTTTTCATTCATCAGGACTTGTCATGCTTGAGGTGGCATTTCCTCTCCCAAAATAAACATAGATTGTATGTACAATAATGTATCACTGGGCTAGTAGACTGCCTTTTTATGTGCTTTATTATGTTTTTTCCTTCTCAGGCGTGGACCTGCAGAGCCATTAGAATATTTAACAGGGCCACGAGTAACGTACAAAGAGAGAGATCTTCCCTACTACCACGGAGGACAGCCTGTTATCCACCCATCCAAGGGGAACTACATCCGTGTGCCGGACACGAGAGTGGCAGAACTGAGGTACCCTCAGTATTACCCAGCCCAGCCCATCACAAACCAGCATAAAGGACCGCTCCGGCAGGACGTGCCGCCTTCCCCTCCGCAGCCCCACCGAGCACCAGCTTACAATGAAATTATCCGACACCGTGGGACCAGTCCAGACCAGTACCAGTACAGGCAACAGGATCCCAGGCAGAAGAACCCCATGACTGCAGCTGTATAGCCGTGCACTGGACTTCTGGCACAGCCCAGGAGGAGCCCCATTGGACATCATCCTTGTAGAGTTGTTCCCAAGCGTAGCTGCCTGTAAGAATGGCACGTGAGACCTGGAGTCGTTCTTACTGAGCTGGGCTCAGCGTAGGTGCTTTCTAACAGGCGAGCTAAAGCCACGTCAGGTACGATGTGTTTTGAATATGTGAGGTACCAGACAGTTGAGTGTTCTTTAATTCCTTTAAAAAAATAGAAAGTGGCTGCTGAAAATGAAACACAACACTTAATACACCTCAGGGCTATTTACTGAATCCAGTTACACCTTTGCAGTACATAGCTGTCTGTGCAGGGGCAGCGGAGTCACCAGAGTTTACTTCAGAGTGCTTGTAGAGCCTTTTAAGTGAGAACACAGCAAGCAGTACTGACTTCTTGCAGAGCTGGGCATCTTGTGTATCTAGTGTGTGATCACGACAAAGGACTGCCACAGAGATAGTGGCCACATTCCAGGCACATCCTGACCAACAGTTCTGCTTTAAGGATGCTGCAGTTCCAGATCTGTGATCTGGCCTCTGTCTTCCTCTGCCTTTTTTGGTGGTGGCAGCATTTATCTTGTAGCCTTCATTTTTTGCAGTTTGTGTATCAAGAGGCTTCTCTTCTTGCACCTGCTGCAGTTGGAGTAGGGCAAAAAGCCTTATCCCCTATGCTTGGGCAGGCCCACAGAGGACAGGCAGCCACCTGAGAACCTGTGTCTGTAGCAGGGGGAGCGTGTGCTTGTGTTAGTTATACAGTGTGCAGTCTTTAAGTGTAAACCCTGGAGACCAGATCCTCAGCTGCTGTCAGGAAGTGTCACTTGAGGGGTTTCACTGGAGCTGGCCTATAAGGAAGTGGCTAGGAAGGTGACTATGGACATGGACTCCATGGTTCATATTAAGTTACTGTGTCAGGTGCTGCCTTGGCTCCATCGGGCCAACTCGTTCCTGGCCCTCTCCAGGCGGTGTTGGAGCCAAGTGCCTGCCAGCAGCGTGCCTGCCCTGGCAAGCCCCTCACTGCCAGAAGGCACCTGTCCATGGGGCCACCCTCAGTCCTCGAGGGAAGCCCAGCCTTGGGCAGCACCAGGCCCCACTGCACCAAGTGCCAAACTACTCGAGTTCTTGCAGCCAGAGGCCGTCAGGTCATGGGGAAAGGGGCTTTTCACAGCAAGGGGTGAGGGAAAAGACAAGGAAAGTAACAGGAAGGGCTTCAAGATCCTGGAGCCCAGGAGGGAGGTGTGAGAATAGCTGTTTGTAGCAAGTTATTTGCAGCAGTGCATGGGAAGAGAGAAGGTGTGGGTGGGGAGGGGGCGTCAGCAGCGCAGCAGAGCCGTGGTGGGGGGACAGGGCAGTGGGGTACATGCCCAGTTCTTTGCCCCAAACAGCCTGAGTTTGCTCTGAAGCTAGAAATGTGTGTCCCCAGCCAGAGGGACCTGTGCAACCTGACCTGAGAGGGCCCTGAGTGCTCAAAGATCTGTCTCAAGGATTTTGTCATGAGGAAACCATGCAGTATTGTGACCTAGAAATAATGTTATCCAAGTGTCCTTAATTCCTCAACTTCTGCCTTTTGGGAGTGTCACTAAACCATTAGGCCTCCCTCTTCATCAGGAAAGGACTGTGACCTGGCCAAGGATTAAGCATAAGGATTTCTTTGATGTCATTTTGACACCTTTGGTTGGCAGCATATTAAATCACATAGATCAGTTCCCAGGTGTTAAACACCACCAGGAAGATTTGTCCTGTTAGGAGTGTGTCCTGCTGGCAGGTAATGGCCCTGATGAGAAGTAGCATTTAATCCCAGCCTACTTTCTTCTCTGCCAATGGTGGTGGCTAGAGCCTGGTGTAACCCTCAGGCACAGGGAGCACTTGTGGCTGGAGCACTTGTGGCTGCCTGAGTGGCTGGCAGGCTCTAGTGCTTGCCTTCCCACCAGCCTCCACCCACCAGCAGGCTGGGAAGCAGGGGAGAGGAGACAGCTTTCCATGGCAGAGGAACACCTCCATGATTCAGACAGAGGGCTGGACTCCCTGGGGCAGGGGCAGGCACAGCTCTAAATCCAGTCAGGAGGAAGCATTGGTGGGAGGGAGAGAGGAAGAGGAATGCAACTGATTATGAAGTAAGCGTGTTTGGTTCTTGTTCCATTTCTTTCTGCCCTCTTCCCTAGTAATATAGGAGGGAAAAAACCTCTGGAGGGAGTGTCGGGTGTAAAGCTGGATGTCTCTCAGTACCCTCCATAAATAAGGCACATTCCCCAAGGAAACCGTGCCTGTCATGTACGTGCTCTGCACAGCCTTGTACTTCTCTCAGAAAGCTTTAGATGTTGTAGGATACTGAGCCAGGACTTGGCAGCCACAGGATAGCTGCTAGTGTTATAAAGGCCTGTTGAAAGTGAAGCAAAAACAAATTAAAATACTTTCCTTTCCCTCCTTGAAATATAACCCCTGATACATTTGATCCAGCTGTAAAGAAACTAATGTTTGCGACAGTGGCTTTATCAAGCCAGGCCACAATTAAGAACAGCTCTGAATATAAGCTACTGCCTTTGTAAATCACTCTCAACTAACCCTTCAAATGGCATCACAGCACAGTGAACAGAACTTATTTACAGTATTTCATGAGCCAGGGCCAAATAAAATCTGGATGGAAACAGCTTCTAGGTTATTTATAGCCTTTGAGGGACCTGCCCAATGTCTCCTCGTAACCTGAATCTTTCTGTAAGAGCTCCCCTTGACTGCATCCGCTCCACTCAATTGAGGCAGACAGATCAAACAAACACCTTCTGAGCTGTTAATCTTACCTTACCCAACAGGTTATTAAATGATGCTTCTGCTCAGTAAGCAGAAATCAGTAGAGAGCTTCTTCCAATTAAAAAGAAAAAAAAAAAAAAAAATTAAGAAGAAAGTGTTGTAAGTATAATATATGGATGCATCCTACAGGTAAGGAGCTATGGAGGAAGAACAGTGTGACCTAGCTGGGGGAGCAAGACTAAAAATTATTACAGAGCATCTCATCAATCTCTGGTGCCATTGTTCTAGGAGATAATTGCCATTTCCTGATTTAATATCTGGTAGAGGTACAGTATTTTCAAAAGTATAATGTGTAACTACAGTATATATAGTCAGCTTTTCTGCAGTATAAAATGTATGATTTTAGCACCATATTGTGGAAAAATATGTACCGTGCAGAATTCACGAGGTGCTACAACTGACGGTTGAAAATACACACTTGCAAAATCCAAAAGAGCCGTTAAGTAACAAGTTGTTCTTTTCCCATATGTCCATATGTTTGGGAAAATTATGAGTCTGAAATGCTCTTGACACGTAATTGCCTCGCACTCCCTCATCCAAAATGTGCCAGTCCAGCCGTAGAGTTACTGACATAGTGGGTGTGAAGGGAGAGTTGGGTTTGCCACAGGAGCAGCCCTAAGTGTGTGTGTGTGAACAGGCATCAAGACCAAGGGAGAGAGGCCCGTGCTCACGTGAAGCTGAAGCTTTGATTTCCTGAGCTGGTGGCGTGCAGCCTGTATTTCTGGCTCTGGCACAGGGCCAGCCAGGCCCAGCAGTTGGAAGATTAAGAGCTAGAAAAAGAGCCTGTGGATTTTCTGAGTGACCACCCACTAGTGAGCCATGATCTTGGCCTGTGAGCCGACATTACCACTGTGATATATTATGATGCAGAAGTCTCTAGGCACCCCTTGAATCCGTAAAGAAATATCAACTGCCCTTTGTGGGGAAAACGGAGCATAGAAAAGAAGGAAAAAAAAAAAAGGCTCTTGCCTTGAAAAAGTGCACACAGTCCTGAATTCCAATTCACTCCAGCTTCCTGATCTAGAAATAGCTTCACATGCTGCCTAATTTTTTTACAGATGAATTGTGCTACCTCTTCCTCCCAGCCATCACAGATTTGTTTATCAGAGAGTTAGTGCTGTGAGTGAATCCTAGCGACTGCTCTGCCAGGGCCGCATCCTGACGCTCTGCTCTGAGCAGGGGCTGCTTTGCACTTTCAAAAGGCCCCACACCTGTGCTCCCCATCACAGTTGTCCTGCAGGATCCTTAAGCCTTACATGCAAAATCAGAAGTGCTATTCAGTATCTCTGCATAGGAAAGAAGACTTTGTAAGACACTATTCTGTTACTGTGAGGGAGAGAGAGGTACTTGAGATCTTGACAATACCTGTGTGTTTAAGTGAAACTGATTTAAAAATCATGTGTGTGATTGTTTTGAGGGAGAAATTCAACACATAATTTGACAGGTTTTTTCTAGTACCACATCAAAGATTTTGATCTTTTGTTACATATGGCTATATAAATTTTACCTGGTTTATTTTGCATTAAAATAAAGGCTTTAAGACTATATATGATTATGTATGTGAAGTCTTTCCCTTCTTTGTGTCTACAAAGTCATCCTCATCCGTGGATGTGATTTGATACGTGACCAAGCTGCATCAGAATTGGTAAGATGACTTTTTTAACAAAAACAAAAACACAGCAGCCATGTGCTGCTTTGTAGAAAGAAAAAATAACCATCCCAGGGCTTAACTTGATTCCGTCAAATCTGCATTGTCTTCAGTTGTATCACCTGAATCCTCATTCCATACCCCAGGATTGAAAGGAAAAGCAAGAAAGAAGTCCCTTGCCAGCTCAGAGAATTTCAGCTTAGGCAGCTGGGTGTTCACTGCTGAAGCTCTCCAGGCAGTTTCGTCTCACCATGGAGCTCTTCTCTTGCTGTTGGTACCAGCCGAGACATTTCTGCAGCCTGTAGCAACTGCCAGGTCCAACTGAGAGGGCTGGAGACCCTTGCCAGAGATTTAGGATGCACTGAAAGTCCTGCACAGGCTCTTCACATGAGGTACATTGGTCATTTAACTGAAGCTGATAACTCTTATTTTCACACATTATGCACAAGCATAGATCTTTGTAGGATCAGGCTGTGGGCTGCAGTGAGATTCAGTCAAGAGTGTTATGTTAGGTGGAGTAATTTTCAAAATAGAAACTTCAGTGGAAAAGCATTAGTACAGGGGGAAGGAATAATGAAGCCTAAGATGGAAATTATGGGTTACTATGAAGAAAAGGGAAAGAATAAAAGAACAAAATAGACAGAAAGGTGTAGGTTTACAACACAAAGCTTAACAGAAATGGCAGGAATGGGTCAATAAAAATGCATGTGTACTGCACGCCAAAATATTTTGAATGCAGGTCTTGGTGTTTACGGCCAAGACAGCTCATGGACAGCTGTCAGTCAGTTTTAGCATGTATTAAATTATAAACCACGTAGATGCCAATTTTAGAACTAGTCAGGTCATAACCTGCACTCACAGCTAAAAACTGTACAAATAAAAATGATACCTCAGTTTCTCCTGCTGAAGCTGTACAAAGAGTAGCAAAAGACAAAGTAGGAGTGTATTAAGAGCTGGAGACTCAGTGACCAGTTTGAGATAGTCCTTTCTGCCTTGGCAGTCTCCTCTGGTTTCCCCAGAGCAGCACTCACTTCCCTGGGACCTGGGCTTGAGTTAAAATCTATTTTGCAGTTGCTGCTTTGTCTGCATAAAGAAGTATGTGGAGCCATTTGACTGTTAATTAATTTTAGTGAAGGAGACTGCACTCTCCTGAGAGCTGTATCCTGCTGTAGGCAAAGTGGGATGCAGCGCCTTTCCGCACGGAGGGTCTCGGAGCTGCGTTACCCCAGCAGCAGAGCAGTGACCTGCTGCAGTCTGCTCTACCCAGGGCAGAGCATCGCAGCCTCTCAGGCATGAGGAACGTGGCAGCTGTGCTGCTTGGGAGGCTCTCAGGAAGAAAAATGCCATTATCAAGATTGAAGTGGAGCTGAGCAGCTCCTGCAGCCTCCCAGAAGGCGTCCAGGGTTTCTAGTAAGTCCCAGAGGATTCTGGCTCAGAGGCTCTGGAGGTCTCCCTGAGGAGGGTACTCAGACTCACTTCACTTGGTGTACTCATCCCTACAGAGAAAGTATGGAGGTGCTGAGGCATGCCTAGGGAAAGGATGGAAACAAGACTGAGAAGGGATCCTAATTCCCAACTGTGGGATCTGCTCCAGGGGGCACATTTTGGCAGATGGTTTTCTCAGTGGGCTAGATGGGAATGATCTGACACAGGCAACCAGAGAGATAGGATTGCTCTGGGAATGGGTAAGAAGAGTTGAGGGGGTGGAAAGTGGGAAATGGAGCAAAAGAAAGGGGATGAGAAATTAAAATAGGTTGGAAAAGAGGGGCAGGATGGGTCTGACCTGAACAGAAAATAGGTACAAAGGAGAGGGGATTGTCCCCAGTGTGAGCTAACAAGGAAGGTGGAATTTTGTGATGATGCTGACTAATGCCCCCCAATTTCCATTTTGCATCCCAGACTTGTGACCTCCCTCCACCGTGTCCAGAGTCAAGACCAGTGACAAAGCAGCACAAAGGTACCTGTGCCTGAGCAAGAAAGCAGAAGGGCAAGTAGGAATTGTGAGGAAAACCCATCAACCAGTATGGGGAGAGAGACACCCATCACACATCACTGTTCCCTCCCTAGATTACATGCTGGCACCCAGATCTCACAGCCTGTTCCTCACACACTTCCCTTCACCTCCCTGGGTACCACCAACATCAGTCTCCTTTCCTAACTGCCTCTTTCATCCAGTGGTTCCCCCGATCACTGATGTCCCCAAAGCCACAGTGACCTTCAATACAACCTTAGCCTTCACTGCTGAGAAGCCCCATGTGCCATCTGTGAGAGTAGCTAGCCAACACCAATAGTTTTGCTGGCACCTGAAAGAGTCAAAGTATGGACCACCCACATGGTATGGGGTGGGGCTGTGCCTTCATTACAGACAGGGACAAGTCATTTCTGAATTGGTGCTTGGTGGGTATAGATTGTAAGAAAGACACAGATTTCATCTGCCTTTTTGCTTGTCTAGAATAAACATTTGACATGTGCAAAAGCTGTTTTATTGCTGGCCTGGTACAAAAATCCTGAACCAGTTTCAAGGGCCAAAAAGGTGATTATAGTCTTTAAAGCAGAATTAATTCTCAAACCGTTCCCAAAATATGCCTGAAAAACTAACCCAAGCCAGACAAGTTGGCTGTGCTCATGGTAAAAGGAAACCTCTGTGCAGAGGAAACAGCTCTGCTTCACTTTTCCAGAAGAGTACTTGCATCTGAAAGAAATAATTTATTGGGAAATATGTACAGTACAGTAAAATAGCAAAATGAGACATTCAATAAGGCTTTTATATAAAACTGTGCCCTTTGCCTCTGGATAATGAATAAAAATGATATAAAGAAGCAATGAGCATTCAATGTTTTATATTTAAAATACATTTGCGTGGAAAACAATGTGGCATAGAAAAAGGTCTGAAGGGTTCTCCAAGATAATGCCAGAAGCTGCCAGATGTTAGCAGCTTTGTCATATAAGTTTCAAGGTGTAGGTTTTTAATTCTCTCATAGGAATCACAGAAGAAGTAGTGAAAACTGTCATTAAAATTCATGGCAAGGAAAGTAAACTTACATTAAAACCTACCCCATTCTTCTCTGAATTCTTAGTACTGACTAGGAAGAAGAGTCTGCTTCTCTGCCAAAACCTTACCTACACAATCTGATTTAGTCTCTAGGCCCTGTTAAACCAAAGTTTTCATACATCACATCTTTCAACCCAGAGTACAAAGGAAAAAAAAAAAAACAACTTCAAAATTGCAGCCTGGTTTTTCAAACCATCAAGCTATGATGTTAAGAGGTTTCATTTGCCATATTTTTTCTAGGAATGAAAAGAAGAAAAAATAGAACAAATATGAAGAAATTAGTTTGTAAGTAAATAAAACTAAAAAAGCCACCCCTTCTTTCCTCTTAGGTGTGTATATATATATATATTTATATATATATATATATTTAGGTATTGCTGCTTTTGATCTAAAAGCAAGTTTACTTTAACAGCTTATTTCTAGCCTCTCCCTGAAGGAGTCAGTATTTACAGCAATGTATGTATGTGAGGAAAGCAGTATAAACGATGAGCACCTGACTCATGAGTGGATGTATGTGCAGAGCCACTGAGCCCTGCAAGCAAAACAAGGAGGAAGCTCTTAGAGCAGTGTTTCCACATTCTGCGTGTCACTCCAGTGCCTGCATCCCTGTAAGTGACGATTTGCAGAGGTGGGCTGAGCTTGCAGGCCAGCCCCTGCCCCAGCTGTGGAAAGGACTGGCAAGGCTGCTGCAGTGGGTGAGGGCTCCTGGTGCTCACTGGGGCCATGCTGCAGCAGCGCTCACAGCCCAGCCAGGACGGGGAGGGTGTGTGGCACCTCCAGGGAGATTGAAACCAGAGTATAAATGAGAGAAGTCATGGGGCTGCTCTTTAAATTGAAGCTTCCTGACAATCTGTAGGTTAATTCAGCAAGCAGAGGAAATCAAAGGCACTCTAACCATGCTCAGTTTCCAGCTCTGTATTCACATTTTGCCAAATTAATCACAACTAATTCAGTTAGTGGAGTGTTAGGTTCAAGAAGTGTGTTTATCTCTTCACATCCTCCTCACCATGGAGAATGTCTTTGCTTCCCTCCTTCTTTGTTCCTCTCTCCCCTCCATTGAAAATAAGCCCTCCAAGCCAGTAATTTTTTCTTTATATATATCAAGAAGACCGTAAGGCCTCAGTCCTTAAATACATTAGTACATTAAATGTGCATTTAATGCAGTCATGCCATCAGGCTCCCCCTCCTGTCCCATCCCTCCCTCCTAGCACTAGGTCCCACCCCATCCCCATGTCCTTTCTCCTTTCCCAATTGTAGGAATTTTCATTGCTGTGAAAGGACAATGGAAACTGAGCTGCTATTGAAAAAAAGACTGATCTGTTTTTTCTTTGCTGGGCTGTTCTTGGCATGGATCATTTCCCAGCTCAGTTCCTCAGATTGCTTTGATGGCACAACAGAGTGGATTGAGCAGTGAGGGGAACCAGGCTGGGGGTGAAGATGGGGGTGAAGATTGGAGAGTGCTTAGACTGCTGTTGCTACAGAAAAGAAAAAGAAAAAGAAAAAGAAAAAGAAAAAGAAAAGAAAAGAAAAAAGAAAAGAAAAGAAAAGAAAAGAAAAGAAAAGAAAAGAAAAGAAAAGAAAAGAAAAGAAAAGAAAAGAAAAGAAAAGAAAAGAAAAGAAAAGAAAAGAAAAGAAAAGAAAAGAAAAAAGAGAAAAATGCTAAATCACAGCCAAAGCACAGTGTATTAGGGGCTTGGATTTGGAAAGTCAAGTACCGTCTTCTGCAGCAGTTACATTCCTCTGCACGTTTACATCTGGCCAAATTACCTGAGAGCAGAGACAGCATTTACCAAGTTTGATTTCTTTAGGCTCTCTCCTGTGGATTCTTTTCTGTGTTTAGCATTAGGAAAAGATG